TGCGTGCGTGCGTGCGTGCGTATGTATGTATATGTGTATGCATGCATGCATTATGTGATTGTGTTAATGAATATGTGTATATGTAGATATTAAGAATGTGCATGATTACTTTTTATATCTTATTGTATTTTAATATTTGTAATATCTTAAGGTGTCATTTCGGCCCTCTGAGGCCTGGGGTTTGTATTTTAAGTATGTGCTAAATGTTGTATTGCTTTGTAACACATGACACTGTAATAAACTAATAAATTATTATTATTATGATATTGATGAGTGTAGGGAACAGTCCCTTTGAATTTTATGATTTAACACACACACATTTATGTACAGTTTGACAGATTATAATAATATGAATATAAAAAATCATCACCACTTCCCAAGTTCACTACAATGTCACCAGTGGGAAGTTGTCGCAGATAAACACGGATTCTAACCAAGTCTGATCTTTTTTTTACCATGGAATGCATGAACTGGTTGAGTGACTCCTTTCCATCAGAATTACACACAGAGAAAGAGTGAGTGAGTGAGTGAGGTTTTACGCCGCTTTTAGCAATATTCCAGCAATATCACGGCGGGGGACACCAGAAATGGGCTTCACACATTGTACCCATGTCGGGAATCGAACCCGGGTCTTCGGCGTGACGAGCTAACGCTTTAACCACTAGGCTACCCGACCGCCCCCACAGAGAAAGAAAGGGCTAAAAATCCTGAAGATATCCTGTATAGATGGTATTAAGTTTTCACCACCAATTTCCTCTAATAATAAAATGTTCCATTTGACATCACTAAGCACCAATACTCAGCAGGATCATTTGGGCAATTGTAAAAATCACCTCTAATGTGAAACCCCCAGTGATTGTTAAGATAACAAATCCTATCTGTAGTCAGACAACATGGCAGTCTACAGTATATTCATTTCCAATATCCTCCAGTAAATAGTGGGTCATGCTACATTACATTACATCACATTACATTACATTACATTACATTATTGACTATAAATTATAAATGATGTATATATGTAAATACGGATATATCAAATATAATACTAGAACATATGGATTTTGTAACAGAGGGAGAAAGTTTGAAATATAGATAAAATAAAGGCCTAATATATTGGTAATGTATAGCTTTGTTAGATGTAAAGCATAGCAGGATATAGTAATATAAACAGTTAGGCTGTTTTTCAGTATGAGGGGCCTGCTAAATAAAGGAAAACTGAAGTGAAGCCTAGCTTCAACATTCATATATTTTTATGTTAACATGTTTTATAGCGCTTGTACAAGAAATATATTCTCCAGCAAACGTAATTAAGCATTAAGAAACCTGACAGACACTTTTGACGTTCAATCCGTAATCTGTAGGTTTGTTCATAGGGACAGGACGTCGATCTTTCTGAAGCATTGTTTTCACACAACAGCCGATAATCCCTTAGCTTACTCTGCTCCATTCGCCTTATTCAAAGAAATTCCGCGAGAGAAGTTTCAGCTCTCGTGACCAACTGCGAGAGTAGGCTTCTTTCCCGGGAATACCTTTGTCTTCTGGCTTCAAACGACCGAAGCATTTATTTTGTAATGTAGGCTTACATACATTTACACACACGCACGCACACACATAATAACTCCCAAAGTTGACACTGCTTTAACATCAGAAGTCACTAAAAAAGAAAACCCAACCCTACTACGATCAGTAGCTATCACTAAAATTCAAACTACCTGGGACATCTGGGCCCATATATACACTGATGGATCCAAGAATCCTATCAACAACAGTGCTGGTTACGGGATCCATATCCACAGCTCCAAACCCCAAGCACATTCAGTTCGCTTGCCTGATGGTCAGTCAGTATTCACGGCTGAATTGGAGGCAATTCATCATGCACTCAAACTCATACCGGAACTTCCGGAAGCAAAGGCAGTCGTCCTATCAGACTCGCTAAGTGCACTTTAGGCCATCAGTGGCAGAAACTCAAACTCCAAGCCAAACACAGTCAACAATATTCTATACGAATATACAAAACTATCGGACCAAGGGCAACAGGTGGAGCTGTGTTGGATCCCCTCTCACATAGATATTCATGGAAATGAAAAAGCAGACTCACTGGCGAAGCTAGCTCTAGACAAAGCGGATATACAGCCTATTCCCTTTAGTAAACTAGAGATAAAAAGCAAAATCAAAGCCTCCATAGCAGAAAGATGGCAAGCCCAATGGGACGCAAGTAAGATTGGCAGATGGCTATACAAAAATCAACCCAAGGTCCAACAAAAGCCAAACTCATACTCAAATTGAAATTGTTATCTCACGCCTTAGACTCGGTCACAAAAAGCACTATGACAAGGTTTGTTCATCTTACAATCAGGCTGAAACCATTGATCACGTGTTGCTAGAATGTCAAGACCATGCCCCAGCCCGGGCTAGGTTAAAACAAGAATCGCAGTTAGATCCGCTATCTGTCATAGATCTCCTAAAGCCAAGAGATGCAATAGCGAAGGCCAAACTAACTCTATTTCTGAGAGATGGACAGCTACTCGAACGTATATAAACAGAGCAGCCAAGGATGAAAATGAAATCATATCGATATAAGAAAATGGAAATCATATCAATACAAAAACAGAAATTATGTGAACACCAAACTCACAATAGATATGTGTACCCTATTCACACACAGGAATCCCAAAGAGGGACAGGTCAGCCGAAATTGCCTAGGCAGAAGGCGACCTCTTAAACACTTAATGCAACAACAACAACACACACATAAATAAACATACATAATTTACATACATTTAATCATACATGCAGCCATACATACCATGCATACACACAGCCATGTAATCATCCGTACATACTGAATAGGAAGCGTGTGTATTGATCTGTTGTCTTAGTCACTGACCCATCAAGAGTGTCAGTCGGCATGTATCAAATCAAATCCGTGAACGTTATGCCCATTTTTTAATAATTCGTGAAGATAGGTACAGTATCGTAAGATTTACATATATAGTCATATTCAGATGATGTCTCCAAATATATGTAAAGGCAAGCTTCTTCCCTTTGTTTAGTCAGCAGCTGTCCTCCTGGCTATGAATGTGGAACACAGGCTTTAGGGTTACATATGAATCTTGTTATCATTGTATTTTAATGCGATTTGAATATCATTATTTACTATCGTACTTAATGTTTTAAATTAGACGTTTTATATTTAGATGTCACCACAAATTACAATTATTGCTTGTAAGCTCAACACAATTGACAAATACTCTAAAATATAAGACTATTAAACCATTAATGTACGTTGAAAAATATATATTGTAAATGCCAAAATGATGTATCCAGGATCAAGTAGAAGATATATGGACAGCAGCGCTGGGTATTTATTCAACAGGCCCGTGAAAAACAACAATGCTTTAGCTCAATGTTTACCACTCCTGGCGGACATTATGCGACGGCCATCTTACACACAACCCCGCGCTCACGTCTACAGGCCAATTCCTGTGGTACGGTAATTAGTAGAACCCTCTCCCTCAAGTGTATCCTCTATGATATAATCTACTCTCATTAATTAAATGCTGCCCTTTTCCAGCGTCACGACTATGGAGCTGAGACGAAGAGACCCAACCATCATAAAGTAAAGGGTCCAATAACAACAATGCTCCACCAAACCTCATAAACATGATCACTGAAAGTCGTACTAGAGACGTTTAATGTCAAATCACAAAAAACATTTGAAAAGCAATACCATTTAACAGGATCATGTATTCTCTTAACACCATCGCAAAACACCATGCAGAAGCCACAACAGTACTCATATTTTCCAACAAAATCACATCTAAAAATGAGACATCAGCAAGTACATATAATAAAATGTGTATAAACATTTTTCGTCAGGAAATCAAAAAGTTATCTCCTTGTTACCACCTCCAGGTTCAGCTAGACATGGATCCTCCTTTGGTCAAAAGTTTGTTCCCCCTCTAATGAGTGTGACACGCGTTGCACACGGGTATCACACGCGTGGCGGACGGGTTTCACACGAGTGACCAACGGGTTGCACACGGGTTGCGTAACGCGTTGCCCATGCGTGTAAGGGGAATGAACTTCTAGGCAGTAGTGTAACCCACTCAGCCAGTCCGACAACTGGTAATCTAGAACACGTTCTTTGTCTACCCCTCTGATAAGTGTAACCTGGCACGGATCCCATGGTGAAACAACTTGAAACAACAAGTTAACCCAGTTACAATGGCAGGTTAGAATATAATATTCGTAATAGGAATAAAGGCAGTGATAATAATATTCACATAGCAGCGGTCAAGGTTCCAAAGTAGACCAAGGCTTGATATCCATGGAGAACATGGTATCTTCCCAAAGACGTCGACGTAGCAATGGTAGCAAGAAGGGGCGAAGGCCAAACAATACCATTCATTTACAAGATTTGTTGCCTCGCCGTCAGGAGTCATTAGTGCACAAAGAAAGTACACGATAATTCTCTGTGTCAATGAAACGAATTAAACGATTGAAGCAACTTTTGCTGCTCACCTCTGTTATTCACGGATACAACATTTGTTGTGTTATTTAGTCATGTCTAAGAATTAGTCCCAAATGTTTAAGACTCAGTACTTCATGTATTTGTATATGTTATTCTTTTCGAGAGAAATATCAATAAATATCAGGAAATATCAAATATCGAAAACACCACATATCTTTAACGCCATTTTTCGAGATGGTGTAGTTAAACAGGTTTCACTCTATAATATGATTCATGTTAACATCTATCTTGATATTTTGCATTGCATTTAGAACGTTATAAAATTTTAATTTACTTTATATTAGGTTTGATTTCGTGAAAGGATACTGCGGGGACTTATCGACTTTGGCCGATTTTTCATGACTGATTTCACACAAACCTGTCACAAGTGCGTATCAGTTTAATTAAATCGATCAGCCAATCAAACTATGACAGTTCGACAAAGGTTCCTCCTCCTGGAAACTATATATTAACTTTCTCATCATCAGCCATCTAAATCTCGACTGAACAGAGGAGTGGAAGGTGGGTATACTCACAAGATAATTATGAAGGCGGACACCGACAAATACCTTAAAGTTTTTACTTTGTTTAAAATCTCAATGTATGAATGATTTTAGAACCTTTTCAATGTATTATTGTACTTATTATGCATATTTTAGATAAGATTGTTGGCAATATAGCGTTTGAAATATGAGACCATTATGCTATTAATTTTGAGAAAGACATATGTTTTGATTACTTTTCAGAAACAAGAACTTATTTAAGTTTTAATACGCGTACCTTTCTACTTCGCCGTTTTATGTTCAAATTGTACATCGCAACAGTTTTACAGACCTATTTTCAACATTTACTCCTCAAAAACAAAACTTTCAATCTAAAATTACATTTGTTTCTACTTGCTTGACATTCCTGTATACGGGGCGGTCGGGTAGCCTGGTGGTTTAAGCGTTCGTTTGTCACGCCGAAGACCCGGGTTCGATTACCGACATGGGTACAATGTGTGAAGCCCATTTCTGGTGTTCCCCGCCGTGATATTGCTGGAATATTGCTAAAAGCGGCGTAAACCATACTCACCCACTCACTCATTACTGATTACAGATGCATTTTGTTTATTGACCACTTACATTATAAGTTATAGCAGGATCACGGGGGTGGGGGGTGGGGGGCGGTGTGTGTGTGTGTGTGTGTGTGTGTGTGTGTGTGTGTGTGTGTGTGTGTGTGTGTGTGTGTGTGTGTGTGTGTGTGTGTGTGTGTGTGCATATAGGGTTGTATGCGTTCCGCGTTAGGTTTTTATACCACGAGGTGGATGCGAGTCGTATAAAACCTAACGAGGGACGGATGAAACCCCATGTACCCCGTGTCATCCTTCTACAACGAATTTGTCTTACTGACATGTTTCAGTATGACATTGTCAATGAATGAAAATAAATTCAAAATTGATAAACAAAACAAAACAGCTGTTCGATTGAGCTGAGGTTAACTTGCGCTATGTCACGTGACTTCAACTGACTGGGAAAAAAGCGTGAGGCTTTTTGCTTTGAAGCGGGGTATAAGGGATTTATTCTGCCTCTAAGATCCTGACTTGCTCGTGGCGGGGCATGAGCTGATTTATTCACCCACTGAGACTTTTTATTTCCCTCAAAGGCGTGATACACAGTATGTTATCAAGATCAGGTTGACCAATCAGATCTCATCATTCTGGCATGTAGGTATGATAAACATATTTATAGACAGTTAAATACTATGTGACAGCTATCCTGAGATTAATCTGTGATGTTTTCCTACTTTTCATTTATGGATATAGTCTGTGCTTGTTTCAGCTTACAAGAAAAGAAAAGTGAAGGAATCAAGCCTGACCATGGTACAGTATTTCTCTACTGTTATGTTATTCGTACTTCACACGTCGTCGTCTTACATATATTATATGTCGACGTAAGTGGAGGAATTAAAAAAAATGATCGGACATTGTCAGGGAGTAATAACTGTGAAGAAGTTTCACATGACTGTATAATTGTTTGGGAATGTTCCTTCTGGAACGTAATTCCTGTCTCCTTTTGAAGAGCTTGCGTGTCTGGGGGCAATAGTGTCCCCCTCCCTACACCAGCTGTCAACACACTTCGTAAATGGTCTTGTCAGAGAGTTAGAGTAACGCTGTCACATGACTGTCATACTGTTTGCAAATTTTCATTCCAGACCGTAATTCCGGCAGCATGCGCCTGCCTCCTCTTGATGAGCTTGTGTGTCTGGGGACAAGATTGTCCCCCTCCCGACTCCAACTGTCAGGACTTCGAATCTGACTCGGACGAAGTTCAAAGAGGTTATTCAGCAATCAGGTAATATTTGTTTGTATGTGCTCAACAGCGAAGTCCTGTTAATTGCACTGGGTTATGCGGGGTTATGACAAACAAGGCTTTAATGTACTGCATTGGGGTGTTTTTTAGACTCTGTGTTTAATTTCCAGTGTCAGGAAAAACATTTAATTCATCCACATCAATATCCTTACAGTCATCGTTATCCCCTTCCACATCTACGTCCCCATCCACATCCGCATCAATACCCACAGTCACAAATACATCCCCTTCCCAATCCACATCCCCTTCCACATCTACATCTATATCCACAGCCAAATCTACATCCACATCAACTTCCACATCTACATCCGATCTACATCCTTATAGTAATCGTTATCCACATCCACGTCCCTTCCACATGCATCTACCGCAAAATCTACACCCACATCCACATCAACTTCCCCATCCACATCCACATCCTTATAGTAATCGTTATCCACATCCACATCTACTTCCACAATTACATTTACAACCACAGCAACAGCCACAGCCCCATCTGATCCACATCCAAATCAACTTCCACATCCACATCCTATCCCCATCCTTATAGACATCGTTATCCGTTATCCCCATCCCCGCCCTTACATACGTGTGCTACCAGAAAAAATAACTGTGTTCCTTCATGTGTTCACTATCCGGCACCCGACATTTAAACCCATACATAGCCACTTCTTACCTTTGTGGTGGTCGCGATATAAATGTAATAGTTTTCTCAAGAGATGATGAACTATTCTTTCTTTACAGTGTGCAAGCTGAAAGCACTCTCAATCAGGTCGACCAAGCCATCTCAACCGGATTTGAAGATGAGCAGAACTGCCCTATAGCAGATAATCTCACGGACTTCTCCGATCGAGCCAGGAACACACGGTACAAACTTCAAATTTATTATAATAATGAGCAAATATTTCATTCCGATACGATACTCGGCGCAAAGATTTGGTGACTCCGCTAATGTCGCGTCTGGTTAACTCTGAGCCAACTTTGATCGCCCAGTCGAAGTGAAGATTGCATGACTTGTTGAGCTCCCCAGATATCAGCTTAAAACGACTCGGCTTTGTTTCTTTGCCACCAGATCGAAAATCTCGTTCTTAGCAAAAGAAAACCCACACAGAACACAACTATACCATCGATGTACACCGTTTGAATGTTGATGCCATGGCGCTTAGAAACGAGAGGACATATCCACAACCATACAATAGCACCGCTTTGTGTTTTTGCATTCGAATAATATTCATTTTCTAGGTACAGAAATCAGGTATGATTGTTTAAATGCTTGCTCACTCGTACCGAGAATTTAATACGCAACCTCGACGCTGTGGGCTGATTAGAAAGTTCAACTCACGAGAACTTTAATGGAGGTGTCCTCAGATTTTGATGCCGAGAAGTATCGCATCGGATTTAAACGTCTGATTTTAAGGAGATTGCCGGCAAAAATTAAGATGGGCGTTTTTGTGATAATGTAGTTGTGATCGTCCCAGAGAAAGACCTATATATTGCATGGTCTCACTGTGCGACCTGTATTATATACAGGGTTTAATATATTTTAATACCTCAATATTATTTCTAAATTAAGATTAGCTGCCTAGTATTCTGTTATGATTGGTTGATTAGCTGGAGCTAAAATTTGGGACTACTTTCTACAGTTTGCTAAAAGCTAACAACAAGGTAACTCAACCAATTTTCGTTTGAATTAGAAGTAGCAGATGCCAAGGAAACCTCAAATACATATTAAACCATGAACACCTCTGCTGTGTCCGTTACGTAGGAGAGGTTTGAGTTCGAACCCGTTCAACGTATTTCTTCACCATACGGCAAAAAGATTGTCTCGTGTTCTTTACATCAAATAAATCAGCACCCGTCGATAAAATGTCATATAGTATAATACTTCGTCAAGACTAGATTTTTCTGACATTTAAAAAAATGATTTTTTATACTTAAAAATCGACATTTGAGAGACATCCTTTCTGTGTCGATCAACATAAAAAGAGACCATTTTAAATCAGTAGGAAGCCTTTTGTGGTTTGCAGGGCTACCCTGCCGATCCAGGTCAGGCCTATCTATGGGAGAAGCTGTGAGCCATGTCCACCCAAAGTCCGCTACCTGCATCGTTTCTACCGGCGTTGTTACGTCATCTTCCCCTACAGACAGTGGATCAGATACGTCACGTGTCCGTAAGTATGTTTACCTGCCGCGTGTCTCAAAAAATTACCGAAAACTCGCCATTCGCCATCATACAGCACTGTCATTGTGGACGTAGGTGGTTAATTTCATTCATGGATGTTTCATGGGTGACACTGTTGAATAAGATGCCGCAATTCGCCCCCCAGACGTGCCTCAAACCTGTGATTATGGTAAAAGCGGCTGTAAGCAAACTCATTCAATCTAATATATAGTTACTGTTAAAAGCGGCTGTAAAGCAAACTCATTCAATCTGTAATATAGTTACTGTTAAAAGCGGCTGTAAAGCAAACTTATTCAATGTTACCAGGACCTATAACAGAAATCGCTCATAACGAATACCAATAAAAGGACGTAAATTTGGCGGCTTTTTAAACAAATATTCTCGACAATGCTTGTCGTAAAAGGTGGCTAACTGGATCGGGTGGTCAGAATCGCTGGCTTGATGCATGTCATAGTATCCTAATTGAATGGATCGATGCTCATGATGTCAATCACTATATTGTCTGATTAATAAACCAGACTTACTGCCAAACAAACTTATTAAAAATCTATGTAAAGACAGCATTTGGGGACAGTAGGCGTTCCGCGTTCAACGGAAGAATCCTTATGAATTGAACAGTGAATAACGATGGAGTTGTGACACGGAGTTCACGAATGCCCTGCGTGTATGTTGTTAATGCACACGTCAACGTGTTCATTGGCCCACGAGCAAAGCCCTGTTGTTGTTATCGATTGCACGGATTATGCACAATCGCAGGGTTCAATTGTCAGCTGGGCACACGGTTAGCCCAGTCGTTTAAGGCAGCGCAGTTCGATGCGCAGAGTTGCGTCCCTTGGGCACAACAGAAACCTATAATTGTGGGTCGGAATCCTGATTCCCCCCGATTATGTTTCTAGGTTTGTCGGCACCATTACTGTGCTTGTCGGTTTAGGGTTAAAGTGGTAAACGTCTGATCACTTGGAGCTTTCTTTCGTATACAAGGCTGACACGCCGTGATATGACCGGTATACTCACTCACTAACTCACTCACTCACTCACACAATAGTCAACTGGGTCGCAAATGTAGATTTATGGGCTTATAAAGTCACAGTGACCTTGAGTAGTCACACAATACTTTACGTTGTTATCAAAATCAGGACTTGCCTATTTGTAGCTGAACATTGTTTAGCTTTTAGTTTGACTCGAAGGAAGTGTTTTTTTAAGTGAGTTAAGGAGTTAAAATGTAACGTCGCATCGGCATTATTTCAGCCATACAGCGGCTGTTTCTTGAAAGAAAGATTTGTTTAGAACATTTAATGATAACGTGCTCTATTTACATGGAACCACTAATAGGGGCTAATTTCAGTTATCTTGATAGTTCGTGAACTATATGCTGTTGAATTTGCCGCGTCCAGCTTAGCATCGGCACCGTTTATGTTTATATTGAATTCCTTGATGTTTTCCTTTTAAAATTTATGATCTGGTGTAGACAAATAAAAGGTTAAATCCACTTTAATAATAACAAAAACGCACTGTTGCCGCGTTATGACCCCCGCCTAAAAACACTACAAAATATCCTAACATTTGTCTTATTTACCCTTCAGGACCAAGTGCAACGAACCGTGTTGGTGTTCCAATACAAGATGCGTGCCAACACGCTACATCCGGGTGTGGGTGTGGGCGTGGTGTCTTGGCACCGAACTCCCCTGGGGTTACAAGTTTGGCCTAAACTGGCGCTGGTTGTGGCTCCCGCAAGACTGCGAATGTCGAGAGCTCACATTCCTCGGCTAGATTTCATGAAGTATACTGAAACACAATAAAAACTTATTGGCTATTTTCCCGAAAGTTACAAAAAATCGATTATACGTTTTTCAAAGTGTTTCAGCATACATAAAACACGCTGGGTTTAATCAACTGGCTGTACAACCGAAATAAAATCTTGAGAAAGAATCATTTTGCATTTTTTTCAAATGAACCTCCTGTAGGCATCTAATCGCCAGCACACTAAGTCAGCGATCTAATCCACTCAACCACCGAGACTTCCACAAAAATGGAAATCCGACAACTTGTTATCTAGATCACGAACTTTGTCTACCCCTCTGATAAGTGAAACCTTAACTCCCATGGTGGAAAACATTGAAACAACAAGTGAACAACATTGCAATGGCAGTATATAAAATAATAGCAGTGGTAATGGCAATAATTTCGGTTAAATAATATTCACCTTACAACAACAATGGTCAAGGTTCCAAAATAAGCCAAGGCTGGATATCCGGGGAGAAAATATTATCTTCACAAAACCGCTGGTCTTGATGACATGTGAGATGAGAGAGTCATGCACTAGTACACTTACATAATCGAAATACCTTCTAGAAAGTCCACACCACGCTGAATTAGTCTATAGCTGTTCCAGAATATTCCAGATTACACTTGACTCCAAAAGCATAAAAATATAGTAACTTCCACACCATTGCTTATAAGATAGTAATAATTTCCTGACAGCTAATTATTGTTTAAAAATATATGATATGTTACTTCACTGCCATATAACACTATGCATACACAATGCCTTTGAGAAAGTGGTCAAATGTAACTCAACAAAAAAAGTACAAGAATTTGTACTTTACTAAGAAAGTGTAATCCCAGTTAACAAGTTGTTACATTTGACCAGTTTCTAAAAGGCATTGTGTATTCACGCCGTCTACACCATGCAGGGGAATGTGTATTTGGATCAATGGTTTCTATTGATTGCAAGTGTAATTCAGTTAAGTATGTGTTGCATGTCTTGCATGAAAGTGAAAAGATACAATCCATATAATAGCCTTAAATGCAGTCGACCTTACATAATTTCCAGAGACATTAATTGTTATGTATATCAATACTTTCTGGATCTAATGACAAAGTAAAAGACGTCTGCAGTCTATCTAACGAATTAACTGCCAAGGTCGTTGAGTCTGCTTCCGGTATCCCAAAGACGTCGACGTAGCAATGGTCACAAGAAAGGGCGAAGGCCAAACAATACCATTCATTTACAAGATTTGTTGCCTCATCGCCAGGCGCCATTAGTGCACAAAGAAAGTACACGATGATACTCTGTATCACTACAAAATTGAACAACTCAAGCAACTTTTGCTGATTGGTGGATCAACGTAGAACAAGAGCCCTCAGTTTCGACTGGAGAGTCCTTGATATCCTTTTGAGACGTTTTGCCAAACTAGAAACAGACTCCACTAAATCAGAAAAAAACTGCATATTCTTCAATTTGAAATTTGCAAATTTTATGCCTTAGATTTAAGCAACATTCTCAGACGAGAATCAGTTTCACAGAATGTCCCACATTATTTTCAAAATTTAATAATCACCCACAATTTCATTTTCCTATACAAACAAACCATTTCATTTAGGTTGTTCAATTATGGAACGTGTTGCAGAACCTGATAATGACAGCTGATGATGTAATTTCCATTTGTGGCTGCCAAAACACATCATACTGCCACCAACATGGAGGCCATATAATCACAGGAAACTTTTGTATTGTTGACAATAACTATCGTCGTTTATTCAAAAATGATGATTAAGTGAAACAAGGGTAATTTGGCCAATTAACTGAAGCTTCAGGTAAATCGATGATTTGATATCGTTCAATAACCATCAAACAGCCAATTTATTTCCACTGATTTACCCACCTGAACTCGGAATAAAGAAGGCCAGCGAGACTGCATCACTTTTTAATCTATACATAAATATTAAGAGTGACAAACCACTGTCCACAAGACTGTGTGACAAGAGGGATTACCTCAACTTTCCAATAGTCAACTTTCCCTTCATGTCGAGCAATATTCCTACAGGTCTAGCCTTTGGTGTCTCGTCTACATATACTTTTGCTGTGCAATCGAGCATGGCCTTTCCACCAAGTCATTTGCTCTAAAGTTTCTTGGTTGAGGTCACAACATTGAAGGCCTCAGTAAAGCTTTCAAACCATTTTATGGTAGACCTGTGATATTTCCCCCAAAATTGAGGCCTGCATATTCATCTTTTGTTCTGCTGGTTACTTCGAGGACCTTTCTTACCACACTTACTCACGGGTGCAGCATTTTTGTCATGTTATTAAGTCATGTCTTTGAATGAGTCCTAAATGATTATAACACTGTACCTCATGTTTTATTGAATCCGTCTTATAGGGAGAGGGGCGGTCGGGTAGCCTTGTGGTTAAAGCGTTCGCTCGTCACGCCGAAGACCCGGGTTCGATTCCCGACATGGGTACAATGTGTGAAGCCCATTTCTGGTGTCCCCCGCCGTGATATTGCTGGAATATTGCTAAAAGCGGCTTAAAACCATACTCACTCACTCACTCTTATAGGGAGAAATATCAATGTTTAGGATATTAGGACACAAGTTTCACTGATATCGAAAACACCACAATTAACCGACATACACAGAAAAGGTCCTCTGAATGTGTCCCATATAACAGTATAAACATAGTCTTAATTTTGAAGGTTATTTATCAAATTTGAAAGAATGCCATTGGCGTAATTGTTTTACATTTAGATGATATATGTCGATTTAAGTAGGTTGATGGCAATGTATCCAACACAATATAATAATATACACGTTATGTGGTTTCAAAAGACATCGGTGACGATTATTACTATTTGTTTTTGTGCCCTCTATTTGATAAAACAGGACGTAGATTTCTTAACTCAAATTTTCATAAAACTGAAGTTCTGTTCTGGTGGAGCACCTCACTTATAGTTGGTGTGTTTGCCTTACATAATGACCGCATTGACTTGAACGCAATGGCAAACACATATTAAACATTTACATACATTCGAGTTTTGTTTGTAGTAAGTAACAATGTCTGTCAATGATTCACCAAGGATTATTCTCTTTCCTTGAAATTGGGGAAACTTTGCTCAGTATATTTTTGTGTATGATGTATTGTTACGTGTATTTACCAAAAGTAAGAATCTACTTTTTCACTTCATTAGATTTCACGCATTGAACATCTCCACTGATCCGTCTCGTCCATGTGGAGATCCACTTAGATTGTTAGGTAGCTTGTCACATTCATAAAGAAGAGTAACAGATTTGTGATTAAATAAATGGACGCGACAAAACCATTTCCATGTTCATAAGGAATCTCTGCCAAAAGCAGAGTCGATTATACGATTCCGACTATAATAGATACATTTACCTTGGCTAAATTCGAAAATTCAACGATAACTGGTGTCTGACTTAAAAGGGCTTTCAACATCAACTATTCGGTTGTAAAACATTCGCGTATGTTAAAGTATGAGTTGTATTAAAGGAAGATGTGCTTATAGAAATAATTACTTGTTTGTTCACAAATCAGTTTCATGTACTTGTATATTTCTGTATTAAATTCTGAGTAAATGAAAAATGGCATTTTTTCACCTGAGAAACAGCCTGAGCAATATAGATCCACTGCAAAACACAATCAATAATGAATACGACAGGTGTATACAGTGGCTAATTGAAATGTACTTCGCATGTAATAATCAATAACAATTGTAACAAATGTACGTGTAGGTACAACAGCTGGAACCGTGGTCTCAGTATTTAAATTGAAATAATTATATTTCAACGAGAAACGCCAGGGACAGATGCTTGTTTGCACTTAATGCCCGCGCTTAGATGAAACTAAATCAGACAATGCTGCAAGGGATCTCTGTTTTTGACTTCATCCGGATTCCACTGCCTGTATCTAGGACAATTGCTCATTTGAGCTTCTGAAAGCCGTGGCAAATTCAAGCTTCGAGATAAAGGTACATAATTCTATAATAAGGTCCAAGTTGGAGACCAAGGTTCGAGATAGTAATTAAGCATTTTTTATCTCCAATTCGAGAAAATTGGTCAAATCAAAATAATAGGTATTTATATTGTAAGACGAAATGGATATTGGAATATTCCAGATAATGAATTTCGAGATAAAGGGGTCTGACTGTACGTGTGACTGAAATGTGTTCTCGGGCAGAAGCCATGTTTGGCTGATTCATCGAACCAGGCGGTTCATGGAACAAATGATATTTCATAATTACCTGCTTATAAAAATGACATAAACTATCTATTTGTTACAGAAAAATGACACAAAACTCATTCCAATGATTAGTTATTTGTTATGTTTGTTTCCTATGCTTGTATTGAAATGAAATATTTATTCTCACTGTTCCAACGTCAAGATGTTAGGAACAGGGATGTTTACAAACTGTTTTTGAAACAAACAGAAATATCTGATTGTACGATTCCGACTATAAAATGAGCATGTGTTAAAACATCTTGTTCAAATAGTGATGATACCAGGTGTCTGTGAAAAGGTGAGGGTATCTTGCCCAAAAGGTGGCACTCACCACAAGCACATGTAAAGTCAATTGTTCACCTAAAAAGAACACGGGAACTTAGGGTATAAGTCAAGATAGGGAATTCGATCGGACATCATTTTAGTCACAGATGCGTCAAAATTGGAAGTGTCCTTCATATGTCTATCATAAAACGTTTTGAAAGTTTACTGAGGCCTTGAGTGTTGTAACCTTGATCAAACAACTGTTGAGCAAGATTCGTATGATGCCTTTTAAAATCTTGGTTGAAAGAGCATGCTGGATTGTACCTCAAACGTTGTGAAAAGAAAACACCAAAGGCTGGAGCTGCAGGAATATTGCTCGAAATAAAGGGAAAGTTGACTTTTAGAAGGTTAAGGTTATCCCTCTTGTCATACAGTCCCGTGGAAAGTGTTTTGTCACTCTGAATCTTTTATTCATCTAAATATGAAACAGATGAGGCGGCCTCACTGGTCTCCTTTACTTCTATTTCTCGGTCAGGTGGGTAAATCATTGGAAGGGAATTGGCTAGTTGACGGGTATTAACCGATATCAAATCATCGATATACCTGTGAAATTCCGATTCTTATGCATCAGAACAATTGCTGCCGTTGG